AAACGAGAGTGGTCATCAACAAAAATAACATAGTAGAGATAGCCATCTGTAGATGGAATGGGTGCAGGACCCCTTAAATCACAGTGAATAAGGTCTAAAACATGCGCAGCTCGTTTCAAGTTGTCACTGAAAGGTAATCGAGAGCTTTTGGATAATTGACACGAAGTACATAAACCAGGTTTAGGCAAGATAGATGAAATAGACAAAGAACCAACTTTATGTAATAAAGAAATAATGTCAAAAGCTACATGCCCTAATCTACTATGCCAAAGTTCAAAAGATGCATTAATGCATTTATTTTTTAAAGCTGCAACGAAAGCCTTGGTTCCTTGCTCAAGCACATAGAGTCCATCCTCACGTTTGCCCCTTGCTATTATGTCCTTGGTGCTGCGATTCTGAATAGCAAAAGATTTATTAGAGAACAATCTGTCAACCGGTGATTCATCGGTTAGTTTGCTAATGGAGAGAAGGTTCTTAGTAAGGTGAGGAACCACAAGAACATCCAACAGCTTAAGATTATCTGAAACAGTAGTGGTACCAATTCTAGAGATATTTAAACATTTACCATTCCCAAAAATAACTTGGTGTTTACCCGAATAAGGAGCGGAGCTGTCAAGAGTACCGGTGGAATTGGTCATGTGGGCCGATGCTCCGGAGTCAACGTACCAATCCGGGTGGGATTGAGTTAAGGTGCATTGATTCTGAAAGGACTGAGCAAGGTTAGCATCAATTGGAGACTCATGTTTGGCATATGTAGATAGGTTTGGACACTCCGAGGCGTAGTGCTCATTGGTTCTGCAGAGTTGACAGTGTGGGGGGCGCTTGTCACGTCCCCGTCCTCCTGAGAAATTTCCCCTGCCACGTCCTCCTGAAAAATTCCCTCGATTGGAGGCTGAGCCACGGGAATTGGATTGAGGAGCACGGTACTGTTATGCCTGGAAAGCAACAGCAGGTGGTGTAGAATTGTTGTGAATTGAGTTTAAAAATAACTCTTGACTTTCAGCTAGTGAGAGAAGAGTGTGAAAGGCAGGAGCTGGCTTTAAAGCACGATGATTGGTGGAAAACGACTCATATCCAGAACCCAATCCGCACAAAAACCAGTGCTTTTTGTCCAGGTCATCAATAGGTTGCCCAATAGCCGCCAGTTGGTCACAGATGCCTTTAAACTTGCGACCGTATTCAGAAACAGTGGAAGTACCTTTGTGTAATTGCCGCAGGGAGTCACGAAGAGTATGCATTCGTTCCATGGAGTCATGGCTGTATGCAGCTTCAAGAGCATTCCATATAGCTTGAGCGGATTTGAGGCCTATGGTCTCTGCCATAGCTTCTTCAGAGAGAGATGATTGAATAATGAGCAAGGCTTGTTGATCGGCCTTGTGCCACGATGGATACAGAGGGTTTTGTTGAGGTGGTTTGTCTTCAACCTCAACAGTGGTAGCGGGTGGAGGAGCCGTCCCATCAATATGTCCCAAGAGATCCTGATAGGACAATAAGGGTGTGGTTTAATTTTTCCACAGCAGGTACTTTGTGGAAGAGAGTTTGATGGTGAGAAGATGTAAGATGGTGTTGAGAGAGATGGGAGTTTCAGATGTAGACATTGGAAAAGAATCGAGAAGAGAGAAGAAACAAAAGGGAGGTCGGCTAGGGTTAGTGTCGTGTCCGCTCTAATACCATATCAGATGTATTTTCACTTAACGTATGATTGATATTATACATGTGTATATATAACAAAGTACAAGATATGTGAAACTAACTAAGCTAATAAACAGGAGTTTAAATCCTATACAACTGTTAACTATGTTATCTATCAGGATCATGGTTATCTTTAATATCTAGAACTTTAGTATCTAGAATATCGCCAATAATTGCCAATATAGAATATTTAGATGAAGATATTTTCCACCATTCCAGTATATCAAAATCTTTATTTTTTCTCTCCCCATCATTTCGTTCTTCCAAATACCTATCAAGCTCGTTTGATGTATCAAATGCCCCATCTTTCTCACATTCCTTTTCAAATTCACTCTCAAACATATTAAAATAATCGTCATCATCATCTTCAACCATTAAGTTATTCAACGTTGAACCTTTTTCTGGAATAGATGATCCGCTTTGTGTTACACCAACTTCTGGATTTCTCAGTTTAAATTCATCAACGTAGTGAGAGAACAACTTTAACAAAGAACCATTCACAAAAGCGGTTATGGTGCCACTTCTGTTGAACTATATAGCTTTTTCAAACACAATATCACAAATTTCATCTTATACCGAGGATCAAGAATAATAGTCACATAAAGAAGCATATTTTGTTTCTCCACACAACCCCAATACTTGTCGAATTTGCTGTTCATCTTAGAAGCCATATCTTTCAAGATTGACTGGTCACTAGCACAGAGTTTCAATATTCTCCCACGTACAATACATATTTCATGAAAATAAGAATTTGTAGTAACAAATAAAGAGGCACTAAACTTGAGTGTAGCTTCGTAAAATATTTTCAGAAACTTACAAAAGATGGCACAGTTATCCCAATCTTTAGAAAATGCTGGTCCTGTTAAATTCCTTCCATTTGATCTTTATCACTGAAATATTTCACATAATGTTCATCTTCTTCTTCTTGCAACTTGAAAGCATCTAAATACTTTATTGACCTATCCAACATTAAAAAGGTTGACTTCCACCTTGTTGATACGTCCAAGCAAATAATAGCCTTATCTTCTTTACAAGTACTCTTCACACAATTTTGAAAACTTCCTAACCTAGACGGAGAAGCTCTGATATATCTATCCGTATTACGAACCGCAACTATTGAAGCATTTAATTCTTTCAACCTGTCACCTACAACTAAGTTAAGAATATGTGTTGAACACCTCATGTGCACAAACTCTCCGTTACAAATCGCAATCTTCCATATTTGCAATCGTTTCTTGATATGACTAATAGCCACATTATTAGAGGATGCATTATCAACCGTCATGGAAAATACCTTCTCGATACCTCACTCCTTTAAGCACGTCTCAATTGCTTTTCCTATCGTGTCTCCTTTGTGATTAGGAATTTGACAAAAATTCAAAATCCTTTTTCACATTTTCCATTCATGATCAATAAAATGTGCTGTCAACATCATATAGCAAACATTTTGAATAGATTTCCATGTATCAGTGGTCAAAGAAACTCTTTATGAATGTTTAAGAAAGTAATTATTTAATTTATTCTTCTCATCACGATATAAATTCTTGATATCTCTTGAAACTGTGGTGCATGACGGTATATCGAACCTGGGGCATGCGACACTACAACATAACTTAAAGCCTTCTTGCTCTACAAATCTAAATGATAATTCATCAAGGATAATCATGTTAACACATGCAAGCCTACAATCAGATTGGCTAAATCCAACAGCCTTTAAATTAGTGCCTTCAACACTTCCACTCTTAGCCCCACACAACTTCTTCTGGAAAATCAAAGTTTTTTGTTTTTTATCTTCCATTCTGAGTGAATTTTCGTGTGGGCACTGATTAAGCAAATGATTCCTAAGGGTACTTGTTCCATATGCTCTATCACCACCAGTGTAAGACTTATCACAAAGCTTACATACAGCCCTAGGAGCCTTTGGATTGTCATTATTTTTAACAAAATGCTACCAAACATCTAATTCTTTTCTTGATTTTTTCTTAGATCCTGGAGGAGGCTTAGAAAGATTACTAGAGTCAAATTGAGGTGAACTCACTACACGTTCGGTAGGAACTGGAATTGATGATGAGGAGTCAACCTCTAGTGCACTTTCCTCCATCTACAGGAAAAGGAAAAAAACACAAAAACATAGTGTTATTGATCATTCAAATATATTGAAGTTACAGGAAAACTTCAAAAGGGGTCGGAGGGAAGAAGAACAAACTGATTAATACTTGTGTGGTGTGTAATCCTTGATCGATTATGAATCACCATTGCTTACTCAAACTGAAATAAAAGAAGAAAATATCCAACTTAAAGCGTCTTTGCGTCTTTGTCTTTGTGTCTTTGTGTCTTTGTGGTTATTCTTGATCAGTATTCCCTAATCCCTATAATTTCGGACTTGCTTCTTTTGCAATTGTATTTTAAAGAACCGATATTAGATGCATGTGTCTATTAGATATTTCCAATTCCAAGTATATAATTTATTAGTTATAATATTTATTCATTTTATTGTCTCTTTCTATTTTTACATTCACATGTTAAACGAGAAGTAAGAATTAGTGAGAACCACATGTTAAAATATTTTAACAGCTACATATTCTTGAGTTTTAACCATTTAGATAATTTGATATAATTAATAAAAATTCAATTATATATATATATATATATATATATATATATATATATATATATATATATATATATATATATAATATGGTCCAGTGCGGTTTGAACCGCAGTTTTGAAACTATAAAATGCAAACCGCATAGCGAAGGTTTAAACCCGCATTATGCGGTGCAGTGTGGGTGGTTTTAGCGGTTTGGTGCACACCCCTAGTAGATGGTATCTTTATTTTGAGTTTTTTAATAAATAAAAATGAATTTTCTTCATTAATTTAGTATATATAAAAAAATTCAAATAAATCCTTATAAACTATAACCCTATTAACGAAAAAGTCATCTATGATTGTTTATTTAAACCAAAATGAAATCTGGCAATCATCATCGTGTACAGTGATACAAACCAAAATCATGCTCAATATTAGGGCTTTTGCCTACCAAGTTTTGATGGAGAAATCATGCCTAATTGTGTCATAAACTACCGATTTGTAAACGATGGTGATGCCCAATTTCATTTCCAAGTTGCACGTTTTACCGAAATCCATCATTTCCGTTGTTAGAAATAGGAAAACACAACAACACCACTTCCAAAAAGATTGAACTCCTGAATTCCTGAATCTATCATCGTCGTATCCCACTCGGAAAAGTTGGATTCAAAGTTTTTACACAGTGGTGACAAATTCAAAGCTTTTACACGACGGTGAGATGGGTTCGAATCTTTTAAACGTCGACGAGGTTAGTTGGAAGCTTTTAAACACCAGCAAGGTTGGTTTGAAGCTTTTATCCGATGGGAATATGGTGAATGCAGCAAGGGGCATATGAAATCGTCGACCATCACTAAATTTGAATTCCAATCTGGTTCTCGATCTAGTTTCTCCGCCATCACCATCAGATGTAAACTTCTCTGTTCCAACTTCTCTGTTCCCTTCATTTCATCAAAGCCACCACCATGATTTTCTAGAAATAGGTTTTCATGATTGTTCTTGATTCTGGTTTAATTTGGTGTTGATTACAGGTTTTGATTTTGATTATCCGGTTTGTATTTTGTTTTGATTTATCGGGTTTTATTCTTGATTTTGGATCTGTTTACAGGAATCCGCAATGGTTGCCGGTGACTGGTGGTGGATGGCGGTTGTTTTAGTAGGGAAGGAGGAGGAGGTAGTGATTGTTGGTTGTTAGTTATTTTAGCGGTGATACGTGAGTTTAATCCAATGGTGACATAAATGATGGTAGTTTAATCATAAATATACAATAATAAATCAAAATAAATACATAAATAATAAAATCAATTAGAAAAGAAATTAATAAGGGCATAATAGTCTTTTTTAGGTTAGACAATGACCAAGCGCGCAACAAAAACAAATAGTAAAGACCTTCCGAGTTAAAAAATTAAGTTAAAAACCAAAAGCGCAAATTAATCCAAACCACATGGACCACTCGTGTAATTTACTCTTTCATTATTATTATTATTATTATTTATTTATTTATTTATTTATTTTTAACAATATTTCCCGTTTGTGTATTTATATCAACTTTTTCAAGGTTGTCTTGTGTCCACCACTTAAAGAACTCGAACCTTCCACAAGTACGTTTTGTTTATCTGCCACTCCTAGATTTCAGAAGGTATTTCCTTTTGCAATAGTAGCGCAGTCGATTGATTTCGGCCTAAATACCTTTTTTAGATCAAATACTTTGCGTCTTTGATTTCCTTACATATTTATATGGATTAATCCGTTAATAGAATTTGAAAATACGGTAATCGCTGTTAGGGTTTTGCTTGCTCGATTGCTTTCCTCTTAGGATCATGCATATTACGATTTTGTTAGGTTGTTGATTCCTATGGCCTTTAGAACTAAATTTTATTATTATCATAAATTTTTTGAATATAGTAGTTTTTAATATTTTGTAGAATATTATATTTGGGTTTTTAACCTCGAGTATCCTTTCTAGGTTCATTTATATGTTGAATTAACTTCTACAGACCTGTAATTTTTGGCTACTTTGTAAGGATTCACTTTGAATTTTGTGGTTGAATGATGTAAACTATCCAGACCAGAATTTAAATTAGTTCTTTTAAAACTTGACAAGTATCTGTACTTAACTGCATATTAAGTTCATTATTGGTGATATAGCTCATAGTAATTTCCTCCTCTATTCGATAATTTTAATCTTTCAAATTTCTGGTATGCATAGTTCTGTAACATTATCTAAAATCAAGTTGTTATTGTATCAGATCATCACATTTTTTGGTAAAAAACATGGGTCGCTCAAGTCGTACACTCTATGTGGGTAATCTTCCTGGTGATATTCGTGAAAGAGAAATTGAAGATTTGTTTTACAAGGTTCTCTCTGATCTCTCTTTGTAACTCATTATTTTACTTTGAAACCAAGATATCTCCAATTTTTTATATTGATTTTGTTTTTTTCATACAGTATGGACCCATTGTTGAAATCGATCTGAAAATTCCTCCTAGACCCCCTGTTTTTGCCTTTGTAGAGGTAAACTACATATCCCATTCTCTTTCATTCTTCTTAAAAGGATTTTTTCCAACCATTTATTTTCATCACATTAACCCATTTTCTTCCATTCTTCTTAAAAGGATTTTTCAACCATTTCTTTTTCATCCCTTTTTTTTCATTTCAGTTTGAAGATCCTCGTGATGCTGAAGATGCGATTTGTGGACGTGATGGCTATAAGTTTGATGGTCAACGCTTACGAGTTAGTCAACGAAACCAATCTTAATTCATCAATAACTTAGTTTCATGTTTTTGATTGGTTTCTTTTGTGTTTTCTTGAATTGAAGGTTGAATTTGCACATGGTGGGAGAGCTTCATCTTCCATAGATCGCCACAGCAGTGGAGGTGGTAGCCATGGAGGACTATCAAGGCGCACTGACTATCGTGGTTTGTTCATTCTCCTTCTTTTTTTGCTTATTCCCTTCTAATAATCTATCCAAAACATTTCAAATTTTCGTAATGAATTGCAGTTTATGTGACTGGATTACCATCTTCTGCTTCATGGCAAGATCTGAAGGTTGGTTTGGTTGACATTTTAGGTCAGATAGTTTTGTTTATGTGTTTCCGAATCCTAACTGGATTTTTTTTTAAAAAAAATGTTATTTTTAGGATCACATGCGTAGAGCTGGTGATGTTTGTTTCTCTCAAGTTTTTCCGTGATCGTGATGGTGAGTAAGTTGTAGTTTTTATTTGTATATGATCCTTCAAATTACAAATAAGGCTGATTATACTTTTTTGCAGGAATGAGGGGGATTGTGGACTATACAAACTATGATGATATGAAATATGCGGTTTGTTTTTCTCTATAGTTTAGTTGTTTTAATCTAATGCAAGCTCTTTTAATAGGTGTTATTGTTTTTTTGTAGGTAAGGAAACTTGATGACTCACTTTTCCGGAACCACTTCTCCAAGGCCTACATACGGGTATGAATATGATGTTTTTTTTTTTATTAAGTGTTGTTTGGATAAATGTTGTTTAAAAAACATTTAAGAAAAGTTAGGACTTGATGAATGCTATGATGAATAACTTGGTGGTTTGGTTTATTGACAACAGGTGGAGGAGTATGATAGTAGAAGACACAATGAGTCTAGGAGCCGAAGCCCAAGTCCATATTATTCAAGAAGCAGAAGTCCAAGTCACAGCTACAGCTCTGACAGCAGAAGCAGGTCTCGATCTAGATCTGTTTCTTATCGATCTAAATCTGCTTCAAGGTACCTACCTACTTTAACAACAATGTTCTTGTTCTTTCCTTTTTTAGTCGTTACTTATGATCCAGTTTCTTTTTTCGTCTTCATTTCATAATTAATAATTTCACCATATAGTTGCTAAATGGCTACCACTTTATTTACCAAAACTTTCCCTCCCATATTAGTTACAAATAGTCTTTGCTATTGAAAAGGTGGATGTGGGGTTTGATTGTTGGAAGGATTTTAAAAAGGTGCCCTTGGTTTTGGATGCCATGATTGTGAAGGGTTATCTTGTTTTTAATTTTTTAGATGTGGATTCCACGGCGTTCTTGTGGATTCTTGATGGGATTTTGGGCGCAAACTTGGCTTTTATCCACTAAACTTGATAAGAAAAAGGTAAATTAACTGTGGTTAAGGCTGGATAAGAAGTGGGTGGATATGAATATTATATAGTGGAAAATATTTATAGCATAGGGGAATTAGTTTTGACTTTTGATGATGGTGAAAGGTGGTGAACTTTGTGTAACAATTGAAGACCATATGGAAAATATTGTTATTGATTGTTTTGGGATTCTGGATTTTGTGGCTAATGAATTGGTTTTTTTTGTTTTTTTTTTCTTTTATCTTTTATGGAAATTTTTGCAGATCTCCATCAAGATCGCCTACACCACCATCATCTGTAAGTTTTGGTTTAAATGCAAGAAATAGCAACGTACAATTTCTCATTATTAAAACATTGTACTTGAAAAAAGTAGTAAAATACTTAAAGTACAATGCGACAATTGAAAGTATGTTGCTATTTATGTGTTGTTACAAATAGAATCTTTGTTTTGATGTTGGATCTAATTATTGAGCAGACTCATTGCTATGGTGGAGATAGGAGCCCAAGTCAAAGCATATCTGGTTCCCGTTCACCATCGGTATATTTATATATATATATATATATATATATTTTTTTTTTAAAGAATTAAATAAAATTGATGAAGGGTATGAGTATGTACTCAAACACCATTATTGATTTATGGCAGGTGAGATCTGATTAGAAGTCAAAGGTGCAGGAGAAGATGCTTGAAGATGAAATGATGATGTGGAGCTATTTTGTGTGTTTACTAGCAAAATTAAAAGATGTAAAACGTATTTAAACTTTAAGAGCCATATGTGGCTTGCTTTGTGTGACGTGTTATATCATGACAATCTACTATTACTAAAAGAGCATCTTGTGTATTAACAACATCCACCACGTCTCTGATGAAAAAAAGTCCTAAAAGGTTTTCAACCACAACTGTCATGAAAACTTGATAAGGCAATCAAGATCCGATTTAATCGGAGTTGAATGGAAATAATATAAAATTAAAATATCATTTAATTCCTACCACAAAAGAAAACTTCAAAAAAAAATAAAAACTGTTTTTGATTTTCACAGGTGAAATTACTATTTAGTTTTACTATGAGTTTTTTTAATATTTTCTTGTGTATTTCTGTAGATCAACTCTACGAAATAACTCTTTTGCTTTGAAAATGATTTTTGAACATTCCTATGTGAAAATGATCCACATTTTAAAAAAATGTCTCTTTTTGGATTTTTGCAACTAAAATTTGGTTAAAAAGACATCACTTTATCATATAGACATCCTATTTGTTTTTTCAAGTATTTTTACATGGTGGCATTAACCATATTTGATTATTAGTTGAAAGTTTGATTGAAAAGGTCCATCGTTATAAACTTTGTTGAAGGAACAACCATCATTCGACAAGAAGCAATTTGTTACATACATCAAGTTGTTCACGCCTAAACTAAATTGGAACCCAAAAAGCAACAAACTTTCAAGAAACATATACAAAGGGCAACTAAATTTCTACTTCTGAAGCTCAAAGACATTCAATTGTATATATAATTTGTTTGCATATGATATGTAAATATAGTAAACTTGAAATCTATATACCAAAATCCCAATACTTGTATGAGAACATGTGTTTATCTATATATGTAAACATATTAGGAAATAAGGTATTCACATCTTTTCCACATATGGTAGATCTCGAGTAACTACACATAGCACTTTTTTTGTAATTGTAGTCCCACTGAAGTCAACCTCAATATTTTTTGACCCACTAAGTCAGTCCAAGTTGAATGCATGCTAAACACAAAGTTGAATGCATGCTAAACACAGTACAATATCAATATGTCCTATGTAAAAAATGGGCTTAATACGTGGGACATGTTTGGGAGTTGAGTTGAGAATGATGCCTTACATTGATGTGTGGGCCAAAAAAAAAAAACATTGAGAATCCTCTTGAATTTACAGAAATTTCTTTTTAAACTAATAACATAATAAAAGAAAAAAGAAAAAGAAAAGTTGAGAGGCAAAAAGCTGGAAACTTGTACCAACCAAAGAGTCAACATACACATCTTTTAGTTGATATGATGGGAGGTGGAGGTGGAGGTGGAGGTGGAGGTGGAGGACTATCCAATCAAAAACCTGAATAAATCAGTTAATGAAATGATGCCCTCTACTCGCTTGCTTCCTGCTTCCACTATAACAAGCCTCCTAACTCCTGCATGCATTATGCCAGCTAAATTAACATCAATAACGCATCTCATATACAACTTTGTAATGTCAATAGTTTTCATTTGTAGACTCTAACCAACGTTAGTAATTTAGTAATAATGTTTTGAAGAATCTATCCAATTGTAGATGTGAAATTTAGTTTGTAATTGGTAGATTTTTGAAAGTAGAATGATGAAAAGAAAGTAGATGAATATAAGTAAGTTGTGAGGTAAATAAATTACCAGGAATAGCAAGCCTATCCATAACTTTATGCAGTGGATCAGATCCCAAACACATGTGACATCTTTGTCCATTAAAAAACCCATATGATGCACTTGCTTCTTGAGTCAGTTGTAATGCCTGTGTACATTATTAGGATAATTATGAATATCAACATCATGGTCATAGATATATTAAATTACAATTTACAAAAACTAGAAATCAGGAATGATGAAAATAAAAGCTACCTGATGAATGCTGAGTTCATTAAGGTGAATCTGGGCATATGCTCTGTCTTTGGCCAAAGCAGTGATATCACTGTCAAGGTCAAATGCCAAAAAAAAAAAAAAAACATATTTTTAAGTTTTTAAAAAAAATGCATGTATATTTACAGGGAAGTAAGTAGACTTTTAAATATTTACCTTCTGCAGTATATATCCAGCAACGAGTCATTCTCATCCACTATAGGAACTGCACTCACTTCAGCTGTCATGGAAAATAAGTAGTAAATCATAAAAACCAACAACACAAACACAATACCATGTAGTATATATTTAATTTAATCATATCACATTATAACATAAGTTATTGTTTTTATTAATTACCTTGAACCAGTAGAGACAAGGCATCACTAAGAGAAGCATTGGCTCTCAACATTGCAAACGGGCGACCATTTGATTCCCCAATCTTGGGGACCCACGTGCCCAAAGGAATTGAACAGATTGGTTGTTGAAGTATTGGCAAGGAAGCAGGCGAATGTTTAAAATGTCTGCAGATGCCTGGAAGGAATTGGTAGCTTGCTTTTGTTAGAAAAAAAAAATATATTAATTGGTTTCTCAAGTCTAAAGGAAAAGTTTGTTTACATTTAAGAACTCCAGTTAGGGAAGCCAAATGTAGGAGCTGTGGGACTGAGCCATCCTGTGAGATGATTGGAATTGTAGCAACCTTGTTTTGTAACAGTTTCAAAGCAACATCTTTTAAAGAATCATGAGGCCCTGCCTGCATTGCATTAACACCACTCAAAAACCATTAAAACAACATAAAAAGTGGTCTGATTCATGAAAAGGCAAACATACTCTACTATTAGGATTGCTAAAATCGTAAAGATGATTAAAATTACATAAATAAAAAGTTCACATCGCATCTGACTTAACAATTTGAATCATTAGAATAGAAAAGAGAGTTACATCAATGAGACGTCTTGGATTCAATGGTCCATTCGTGTCAAATTTCCTTGTAAGCTGTAATTTTCCCTCTTTCCAGGCTGATATGGCATGGGTCTCAAGCTCCTCCTCAGTCAACTCAGAACCATGATTCCCCAGCTGGAATTTAGTACAACTTGTTATTGTAATAAGATACTTACAATTCACATAAAATGGATATCATGTAATCAAAACATTTTATCTAAAACAGTAACTGAATCTGTCAGGAAAGTGCTATCTATACCTCTCTAAGAATCAAGATGAAGTCTAATGGACTCAGTATTCCAACAAATCGACCAACATTATGGTCCCAAAGAGGGGCGACTGAAATTCCCTGTCAATATTATAAACCCACATTAGTTAATGGAACTTTAAAGCAAACAACTTAATCACAAGACTCACAAAAAAAAAAAAAAAAAAAAAGTAGACTATTACTATTAAGCCTCCAATGCTGTTCATGTATAAATTATAAAACAAGGGAGAAGGGCTAATTCAGTTAACCAGAACCAGCTTTAGTCACACACAATGGCAAACTAAATGAAAAAGTAGTTAGAGATTCTGTTGGAGTAATGTCTGTTAAGTAGTGAAGTTACATCATTTTGAGGAGTATCGTTTGCTTTCTACTCTCTCTAAAGAGAATCTTGCCATAAAATCTTTCCCTTTTCTACCTCAATTCTGTCCTTTCTTGATCCATGTGTTTCTTGCATGTAGTCACTATTACTTCGGTCATCAAAATTGGCTCCAGAAAATTCCAAATTATTATTCTTTTTCCTTATAGATTGACCTCTTCTTCTCTCTCTACCTGATGATTTTTTGAATTGTAAGCTGTTCTTTTGTTATTATATCATCCTTACCCTCTTCATGTTGCACTTTCTTTCTCCTCTAGCACGGGTGTATTGGTAAGGAGTTTGAGTGTGGTATTAAAAAATTCTTATGAATATGTTTATGTGCTTTAGTATGCTTTAACAAGGTTTGTTAGGTATATAACTAACTCACCATGAAACAAAGTTTAGGAGCCATGTAAAAGACCACATCTTGACCTCAAGCTTGTGTAAGCTACATAGAGTGGTCCGAAATTTCAAATTACATCTCTAATAACCAATGGTGAAATGAGATTTCGCATAAATATTTAGATTGCTAAGAAGTAATGTTCTACACAAATGCAACCAAATATGCAATCACATTTTTGTAACAATATACAGTTTCCTTAGAAACAAGTGCATGCTCATGAAACACATGCAAAATGTGCAATGCTATCTTCAAGAGGAACTCGTGGAAAAAGTAGGTCTTTACTTTACATCAAGCACAAGAAAAGTAAATGAGAAGGTATCAAGATATTGAAGCTATAAACTGGATCCGACCCATGAAACATTAACTTCAAAATAGAATACACAACTTGAAAAGTCACAAAGAGTATGTACATAACAAGAGAAATGACCCATGCAATGTTACCTGTTCATAGAGAATATGGAAAGCTTGCTTAACAGGTAGGGAAACATCCAAAGCAACAACCTACAAAATGCAAAGGGTGAAAATAAACAAGTAAGCATCATTATTCATTACCAATATGTAAAGATAATAGACATAAGAGAATTGTTCAAGCATCAAACCTTTCCAGATTCTGGAAGCAACTCATAGGCAGTATGTGTAGAAAGGAATACAGATATGCGATGGCGAGATAACTCCACATCAGCCTCAAGTATCTTTGGATTCGCATCCTGTAAAAATGTATGATAAGCATTTTAAGGAACATTGTGAAAAGAATGGACGCCATAGCTAATAAGAATTCACAAGAAGAAAGTTATAAAAAGATGATCTTACTGAGTGATGAAAGGGATCACCATCAATGTCCATACTATCTCCAGTAACACCAGGAGTTTCAGACACTGAAAACCTAGGGATCATATCAGATTCACTACCCACGAAGATTGTGCTCAATACAGCATCAAGGGCAGTTGTCCATTAATTTACCACCTCCATAACAAAGAAAATGAACTGCACAGAATTTGCAACATATATGAAAAGTGAAAACCTTAAAAGAATCATCAATTCATCGTACATTTTTGATGATGTAGTTCCTGTATACATAAACAAAGCATTAAACGTCTATGAAAGACAGACAGTTGTATACTCATTTGGACATTACAATAATCGAGTATACATGCATTGCAAGCACCAGAAAAAAATTCACTATAGATTTTCAGCCAAACAAAACACTAGATGTTGGAAGAGTTTAAGCAGCGCCATTACAAAAGGTGAACTACACCTAGACTCTTGAAATCAATCGGACATTTTCTTTTACTTTACAATTGATGTGCATCCTCTAATGTTTCAGAGAAAAAAAAGTGCAAACGGCATTTAACCATTGTAACGAGAATTACAAAAACCAGATCAATTTAGCAGCCTGACAAGTTTTGGCATCATAAATCAGAACGGAAGGAGTAACACCATGTTATATAACCATGATTACCCGCTTCATTATGAAATAATCTTCAATCGAGAATACAACCCATACGATTATCCATAGCCCTTAAACCCAATACGATTCAATCATTTGAAGAATAAACATTCAATTTGCTCGACAATCTCTAAACCCCCAAAAATGCCCTAAAAATTTCTCCTATGCCCCTCTATCGTTACCCGTTCTTTCTAAAATTACAAATTGGAAACCAAAGTAGCGACAAAATTCAGACAAAATTAGAAACGGAAATGGGTTTTCTAACCGAAAATGGACCGAAGACGACTGTATCCCGGAATCAGCAACAAGCTTGGCAGGATAGGGAAAGCAGGATTTTAAGCCGTATAATCCCGAACCATTTATCTGGTTTGGCGATCCAAGAGTTGGAAAGAAAGCAGGGAAATTTTGATATTGAGGAAGATGGGGATTTGTAGTCGAGTGAGAGAATCAGGTGAGAGTTACCTTTTGATTCAGGGGTCGAACGTTCCTTGGTCCATTTAACAGTGCTTTGGATAATAATTATTCTCTCCGTCCATGACCTAATCACCCTTTCTATGATTGGACGTAGTTAGAGTTTTTCAATCAAACACAATGCTTATGATTGTACAAAAAAAAATATACATATCTAAAGGGTAATTCTATAGACACGAATAAATATCTATATGCACGAATAATTATTGCAAGACAGTCTTCCATCAATCAAATCTCATGTATATAAATCCCCAATATAATGATATTTTAATTTTCAAAGAGGGTCCTCATGCTTTTATTTATCTTTCAAAATTTACCTTTTGTTTTTCAAAATTTTATTTTAAACCTTTTACTTAATATGTTCCAATTATGTTTTCAAATTTTGTCCTCATACTTTTATTTATCTTTCAAAATTTACTTTTTAAGGAATTGCATAAAAACATAATCAAGTCAAATTTTTGTCCTCATACTTTTGTTTTACAAGGAAACCGAGTCAATAATCTTATATATTTAATTATATGTAAACAATAAATTTAATATAGATTTACATGGTTTGTTAAAATTATTTTTTTTATGTAATTATTGTTAACCGATAATCTCATGATTGTTCCTATTGATAGCAATAAGGTTCACCGTGGCCAATAACCAAACCAAACCGTCCAATACGCATCTCTATTAAAAAAATATAATTAGAAAATATGTATTGTTTTCTATATACACTACAAAAAATTTTCGATTTAGATACGGAAAAATTTCATAGCAAAAACATGAAATTCCGTAGCTAAAGCCAAATAACTATGGAATTTGTGACGTAAATTTTCAATTAGACTTCGTATATGTTTGCTAAATTAAAAAAACAATTTTTTTTATTTATAAAGATCTTAATAATTATAAACAACAAAACATAAACTTGATTTTATTAATTATCAGATATTATAACTGTAGAATTGTTACAATACTATGTGTTGCAAATGGAGAAATGTATGAATTCAGGCGAGCAGCATAAACAGTTTCCCATCCAGCAGACCGTAATGATCTGTTGTGACGCCAAAGTGGCAAAATAGTAGGCATTGGATATGCTCCATGTAAATCAACCTTCACATAATTATCACCTCTAACAAGAGCAACAACAACAACTCTATGAGTTGAGATGTCTTGGGGACCAAGCCATAGTGGAAAACATGTTGATGGACTATCTTTGCTTAGAAAAATAACTATTACACTATACTTGTTAGCAATGAGAAAGCTAGTGACCGGCATAATCAACCAACGATCTTTTGGTGCGAAATGTGATCCATTGAAATTCAATGAGTGATGTACGGAATTTCATTCATAAGTGGATCTGAATTATACATTACTTGTTCTTGGTTGAAGTACGAGTTATGCATCGATTGTTCCAGATTAAAGGTTGAGTTGAACATTGGAGGTTCTCGGAACGAGTACGTACTGTGCCTATCCGGTTCCTGGTTTAGATCAAACAAATTAGACCGCATATAATCAGGCGTATAAGTAGAAATGTTGCGTCGAGATGGATATTGAGTTAGTGGCGCTTGAGTCGGTTGATCTTGAGGTGGTGGATCTTGAGTTGGTGGGTCCTGGGGTTAAATCGATATGGGTTTTCTTGAAAAGTTTCTTCTTTAAGGAGGGGCGCTCACGAGTATTTTTGTGAGTAGCAGGTTCAGAAACTGAAGTTGTTGACGACGTGATTAAGTTTAGTAACTTCCTTGCTAAACTTAACTTAACAGGTCTTGATTGTTTTTCGTAATGAGCATTAAACATATTTACCTCAACTGCACAACCCAAATTGTCATCTTCTAACGATTTGCATTCTAATAAATCAAGTTTCTTCCAAAACTTATCGACTGAATGAAGCGGTACATAATGACCTTTTTTAACAAATATAGCTTGTTCATGCGCACATGGCAGCCCATAACTTGTACGTACTTGACATCCACAATTTTCATAAACAAATCCAAATTCTTTGGACCGCTCATATTCTTTGAAAATGATATCAAGTGCATAAATTGAAACGAAACGACACAATGGTTTTAGATGTGGTATTTCGTAGTACCGATGTACAATAAAAATTTTGTTATGCGTAAGACTCGCTTTTATACCTGTGTATTGTGACTCAACAACATCAGCAATACGCTTCAATGATTTGGCGATATCTGATCGCGATGTCTCGACATATCTTTTTAACTTGGCATGTTGACTTTCAGCTCTATTAGTTGTGTGGTTGCCAAAGTTAAGAAACTTATCGGTCCATGCAGACACAAACTTTTCATTGTGTGGTGTCAACCATGTTTTGTTTAGATAAGAAAATGCATCTGAAATACATAAACAAATTTCAGTTGATGTAATGAATTATAACATATTATAATGTATATTTAAAAATACCTGGATAATTGTTCGTAATTTTTTCAACTTGTGCCAAATTCTTGTTGTATGCTTCCTTTGTTTCAGAGTTAACCAACCTCGTCCATGACGTATAAAGAACATCCCAACATGATTTGCATTTCTTCATGATATTGTTATTTATATGCCATCTGCAAAGTAATCCTTTAGCATCTGGAAATATAATAGCGTATGCGTTCATGAGAGCCATTTCTCTATCGGTCACAATAACACGCGGCAACATACATCCTTCTATTACCGATTTTAGACAGTCTAAAGCCAAAACATAGTTGGACTGTTTTTCTTCATGCATGTACACAAATGCAATGGAAAATGTCATATTTGTTGGAGTTACACCAACAATCTCCAATAGAGGCATCTCGTACTTGTTTGTCTTATATGTTGCATCCATTAACAAGACATGTGGAAATGCACGCCATATTTCTAATGATCTTGGATGAGCAAAGAATAAATCTTCTAACTTATTTGTCAAAACATTTGCACGACTATAATAAACATATCCATTTTGATCTAGAAATTCCATAACACCTTGCATTTGAGTTTTACCTTCTCTCTCCCTACGTCGAAGTTTTTCGTCTGCATTGTAGATAGTTTTGAGAGTAGATACATTTTTTGGATTTAGGTTTTTTAGTGCAGATAATATATCTTTTGGTTTGACATTTTTTTTCAACAAATCTTCCACTACTCGACATTCATATTCAGTTAGCCGTCGTGGATAAGGATGACCTTCCAAATATAATGACGGCTCATGGTTATGAAATTCACATATCATTTTTATCTTCTAAGAATTTTCTACTGACGAATATTTACCCTGTAGGCTAAATGGACAATTAATTTTTTTTGTCCCTGTTTTTTTTAGAGATTTTTGTACGTTTGTATGTACTTCCACGGTCACATTGAAATACAACATTAAAGTTACGTTTCGAATTTTTTATGACGATGACATAACCTAAAGTATTTGCCATATTTTGCACCCAATCCATCAATTCTTGACGAGAATTGAACACCTGGCAATTATATTATTATCAGTGGCTAACAAATCCACTCGATGCTAACATTACTGTAACAACATACTAATGAATTTATACCTTATCTGTTTTGAATGGTGATGTGTCATCGAAGAAATAACGACTTTCATTCAAACTTTCATTTTCATCTGCTTCATTTGTGTCCATTGGATGAATATCCGTTTCAAATGGCGATGTGTCGTCGAAAAAATAGTTACTTTCATTGAAGCTATTATTTTCATCTACTTCATTTGTCTCCATTGGATGAATATCATCTCTCTAAACATAACAAAGAGAAAAACATACATTTAATAATAATAATAATAATAATGATAATAATAATAATAATAATAATAATAATAATAATAATAATAATAATAATAATAATAATAATAGAAAGGTTAAGTACAAATACCTCATAATATGTGTCACCCATCCATTCTTCCCAACTTGTCATTTAATAAAATCTATATTTATAACAAGTATCGTATGTTTGCTTTTAAAGAAAGTTACTTTCAAAATAACATTGCAAGTCACTTTCAGTTTAACATATAAGAAAATCTATATATAGAAAGAAATTGTAACCAAATTTTCATTTTTATCCCTTCTATTTTTGTTAATGTTTCATAGTTTATATTTCTTATTTAACAAATTAATTTTTTTCTATTAATATTTAATAATATTCATTATTACTCTTCTTGTAAATGTATTAATGAGATCATTTTAATTATACAACTTTTATGAATAAATAATATGTTTCTATTTGTTAGTTTTCAAAATTAATAAAGTTTTAAGGGTTTAAGATTTAAATTGATAAAATTTAGGGTCTTTTTTAAAACTACAACGTAAACTGAGGGTATAAAATTGTAATATTACATTTTATCGATAGAATGATTGGTACACATATTAATACAATAATTGAGATAGAATGATTGGCACACATATTAATACACATATCAATTACACGATTTTATTCGTGTATATAGGAGCACCCAATATATATATATATATATATATATATATATATATATATATATATATATATATATATATATATATATATATATATCCCGAATATAATGTTATTTTAATTTTCAAATGTTGTCCTCATGCTTTTATTTATCTTTCAAAATTTACCTTTTGTTTTTCAAAATTTTATTTTAAACCTTTTACTTAATATGTTCCAATTATGGTGAACTAAAAGGATATAGCGAGTTTGCGGATTATGATAAGTTGGATATATCCGTCCGAGAGAGTGATTCTAACGGAGAAGAATTTGATGATGAACCTAAACTTATTTATTCAGATAACATGTTTCACGGTATGCCCCCATTGCCTTCGTGTCCTGTAAACGATGATGTGAACATTCCATGTCAGAGGCTGGATATAAATGAAGAGATTAAGGTTCTAGACATTTTTTATGACAAAGAGTTGCTCAAGCTTGCAATTGGAAGACAATGCATGGAACAAGGTAAGCAGTATAAGACTACCAGATCGAGCAAAGAGAGGTTCGAGGTGGTTTGTTTGGTAGAAAATTGTTCTTGGATGGTTAGGGCAAGGGGAATCAAATCGACTACTGCTTTCCAAGTCACAAAAGTTGTTGACCAACACACTTGTTGTGCAACAAACTTGAAGTCTAATCATCGACACTTGTACACCGTAGGTTTAGTATGAAACCTACAGTTTTATATATTTTTTTCCGATTTTTTTCAAAAAGAATTTAACCACATATACAAAACCTACTCCTAATCACAAACACGGTAAAATTTTGATGAAAAGTAGACAAACCTGGTTGTTCTTTGGGTGCTCCATTGAGACAAAAAAGTAGCCAAACCAAAGAAAACAATAGGAAAAATGACCTAATCTGGAAAAAAAATCATTATATACTTTGGGCTAATGGGCCACGAAAAAGTAAACGGGCCCGTGAAACAGTAGCCTTTAGCACGAAACACTACTTTAAGGCATAAAATAATAGTCAACAATGTTGACCGTAGTCAACCAAAAGTTGACTACGTTTTTAAGGGCTATTTTTGGCTAAGTATTATTTTTTTTGGCTATTTTTTGATAAATAATTAACAAAAATTGCTAGATTTGTATTTTCCCATTTTATTTATAGCTTTCTTTTTTATTTATATACATATTAAAAAAAACGAAATGCCGATGGATTTCCCATGTTAGAAAAAAACACTAATTTAATAACGGTTTATGATCCTTCAATATTTGTATAATTTTAAACTTATGAAAGTGTTATTTTCTAATTAACACTAATTGAGTTTTTAAACGCCAACTGAGTTCTAATACGTTAATTGAGTTTGTAAATGTTAATTTTAAACACTACTTGAGTTTTTAAACACCAACTCTAAATGCTAATTTTTTAAAACACTAATTAATTTTAAATACTAATTGAGTTTTTAAAAACTAATTTTTAAATGTTGATTGAGTTTACAAATGAATTAGACTAATACTATAGGTTAAAAATTATGTATATATTTTTAAATATTATCATACACATATGAGCATATTTCTAATAGAATAGATTAATATAGTGAATTTTTAAAAGTCGAAAAAGTATAGGATGAAATATGAACATTGTGTATTAATAAAGGGATTAATGAGAAATTATATAATAACATTTTCATATATAAAGCGGTTGTGACAGATTGTCAGTTTTCAAACTTCAGGCATAAATACCAAAACAATTACACGACTCGTTTCGTGCGAATAGGAGGACCCATATCTAAAATACAAAAACTATAACATGTTTTTATCATTTTAGTGAGCAACTCTTTCAACTTGGTTCTAATTTAAATCTTTATTATTATTTTTTTTTCTTAATCAAAAGTAAATAATTGGACTTATTATGTATTAAACTAAGAATCATTTTCTTTAATAAGTAGATCTTTCTTATGCATGTTTCTGCACTAATTTATATAATATAATGTTTGTTGTTTTAAAAAACAAACTTAAATTTATTAAAGCTAGGATTCGATCTTGGAATGCGGAGACTAGGTCGGCTGCGCATCTTTCTTCATCGCAGTTGTTGGGGCGATTAGTAGAGATTGATAACTTTATTGATGATGGCCAATCTAGTGATGACCTTATTCGTGAAAGAAGAGGAATACTTGGTGATTTAACGAATTTAAAAAAAGTTAGATCGTTGGATGTTGCTCAAAAGGTTAAAGCTACGTGGGTTGTGGAGGGAGATGAGAATGCTGCGTTCTTTCATGCATTACTGAAAAAAAGTAGAAGGCAGTTGATGATTAGAGGGGTTACTATTGATGGGGAGTGGATTTCGGAGCCTGCTAGTATTAAGAAGGCTTTTTTCGATTTTTATGCAGGTAAGTTTCAGCCTTTTCTTGGTGTTAGTTTTGATCGTCGAAGTCCTAGATTCAAGTCGTTGGATCCTAAGGTTGCTTCTTCTATTGAGGTGGAATTCACGGCTGAAGAGATTAAGAATGTAGTTTGGGATTGTGGTGTAGATCGTGCCCCTGGTTCAGATGGCTTTACATTCCATTTTCTCAGACACTTCTGGGAGATTCTTGCAGATGATGTCATCGCTTTTGTGCAAGAGTTTTTTGCCAAACCGGTTTTCCCGAAGGGGTGTAACTCATCCTTTATTACTTTGATCCCCAAATCTGATAATCCTCTTTGTATCAAGGATTATCGCCCTATTAGTCTTATTGGGCTGCAATTTAAGATTATTGCAAAATTGATGACTAATAGGTTGGCTCATGTTCTCCATGATATTATTGGGTTAGAGCAATCGGCTTTTCTTAAGTCCCGTCAAATTCTTGATGGGCCGTTGATGATTAATGAGCTAGTGAGGTGGTTTAAAAAGAAAAAGAAAAAGCTGATGATGTTTAAAGTTGATTTTGAAAAGGCTTATGATTATGTGAGCTGGGAGTATCTGGATAAGATTATGGGGTTTCTCGGCTTTGGTGAGAAATGGAGAGCCTGGATTCGTGGTTTGTGCTCTAATGTTAGATCTTCGGTGCTGATTAATGGGAGCCCCACTGATGAGTTTCAGATTTTTAGAGGTCTTAGACAAGGAGATCCCCTTTCTCCTTTTTTATTCATCATAGCTATGGAAAGGGCTTCATATTGCCTTAGAGGATGCGGTAGCTGACGGTATATTTCGGGGTGCTCATATGGGTTCTGATGAGGTTCGCATTTCTCACTTGTTTTACGCAGATGATGCGACTTTTCTAGGGGAATGGGATGTTTCTAATATTCAGAATTTGATATGTATTCTGAGGTGCTTTTATTTGGTATCAGCCCTTAATCTCAATCTTAATAAATCAAATCTTTACGGGGTAGGGGTTAATTCGGCGGAGACTGCTAATTTAGCTTCTTATACCGGGTGTTCGGCTGGAACTTTCCCTTTTGTTTATCTTGGTATTCCGATTGGAGAATCTATGGTTCGTCTTAAAGGTTGGCAGATGATTATCGATCGATTTAAGAAGAGTTTATCTTCTTGGAAGGTCAAGTTGTTGTCCATTGGAGGTCGTCTGACTCTTATTAAGTCGGTCTTAGGGAGTTTGGGTATTTACTTCTTCTCTTTGTTTCGTCTTCCTGCGACTGTTTGTCACTCTCTTGAGTCTCTAAGGGCTCGGTTTTTTTGGGGAGTGGAGGAAGGTCAACATCGTATTCATTGGGTTAATTGGAAGTTGATCTTGAATTCATATTCTCATGGAGGTCTCGGGGTTGGTAGTTTGGATGCTTTTAACCTCGTTCTTCTTTATAAATGGAAGTGGCGATTTCTTAATGACAAGGGAGCTCTTTGGGTTAAAATTGTCAAATTTTGTCATGGGGAAGGTGGTGGTTTTTTAGATGATTCAAGAATTGGAAGTGGAGGGGGTGTTTTGCAAAAGATTGTTAGATCTATTAATCATTTTCATGAGAATGGTTGTATTCCTTCTAATCTCATGCATAGAGTGGTGGGGAATGGGACCCAAACGAGGTTCTGGAAGGATGTTTGGTGCTTGGATATTCCTCTTAAAGAACGGTTTGGGAGGCTTTTTGCTTTGGCCTTTAATCAAGATGCTCGGGTTAGTGATTATTGAGATTCGGGGGGTGGAATTTTCATTAGCGACGGGAGATTAGAGGAGGTGCTGAATCAACCCAATTTGATGATCTGGTGGAGTTTTTAAATCATATTCGTATAGGGGAGATGCCAGATAAGTGGTCTTGGGAGCTTGACCCGTCATGTATTTTTATAGTTAAATCAACAAGGCACTGGGTTGATGATATGACGCTTCCTATGGGTAGTACGCCTACGAGGTGGAACCGTTTTGTTCCTATTAAAATTAATATCTTTTTATGGCGTGTGCTTTTGGATCGCATTCCGGTTAGAACTAAATTGGTGGAAAGGGGGTGGCGATAGATTCCTTAATGTGTCCTGTGTGCCATAACTCTCAAGAAAATGTGAATCATTTGTTGCTGCAGTGTTCGGTTGTTGATCAGGTGTGGATTCGGGTAGGGCAGTGGCTTCATTTGGACTTTCCTGTGTTCTCTTCTATCCGTGACGTCATGGATTGGGTGGATTCGAGATCGACTATTCATATGGAGCGCTCGATTGTTGAGTCGGTGTTCATGGTGGTCATATGGGTGCTTTGGACGTTTCGTAATTCCTTACTTTTTAATAGTATTAAGCCTAGAAAAGATAGACTCTTTGATTCTGTTGTGGATCTTTCTTTTCGTTGGTTTTCGTTTCGGAATTCTAAGGCTCGGGTTAATTGGACGATGTGGTTACTAAATCCAATCCAGCCTTAACTTGTTCTTTTCTCTAGCTTCTTGCTAGAGGTTTGTTTTTTTTTAATATATTTGTTGCTGCTGTTCAAAAAAAATATAATATTTGTTTTTTTTTATAAATTTATACAACATATACGAATTATAAGACAATGTTTTCAACCATTAAATAGATTACAAATAAAATATCACATAAGTGGTCCATAATTTAGATATACTTGCATATATAAAAAATATAGGAGCAAAGTCCACAAAAGTCATTAAGTTTATACGAAATTCGATTTTGGAATTAGATTATTTTTCGACTCATATTGAACACTTCGTTTTCCAATTTGTTATAACTCTGATCACTTAACCGGTCAGCCTGATTGCATGTTGAAGTGTCAATTTTGATGATGTGGCATTTTGATATTGCATGATAGCGTGACATTTTTTGTGACATCATATTCTAGGTGTCGAAATTGGGAAAAAAAAAACTAAAATATAGTGACTTTTGTGTAAATTTTCCAAAATGTAGTGACTTTTGTGCAATTTGGTATAATTATATATTTTCCAAAATGTTTGAGGTTATTCTTCTCTTCCTTCTTAAAGTACATCCATGTGAAAGCGTATAACCATAACTATTCAAGTGGTATATGAAAAAACCTAATGCACAAGCACAATAAGGGTGCTAATTGTAATTGTAGCTTCGTATACGACCTTATTTTTATAGTCTCACATAGAATAACATTAGTAGGGTATCGTTGTAGTTGGTGACTTCTAGATTGTCTATCAGAGTAACAACTGAGTTAGCACTTGAAGGACATAGGATTGGTCCATTTGTTTCTATGCTAAGTGATACAGTTACCATGTTTGTTGCAATTAGTTGATCATGTGCTTGAACCATATGGATCAACAGTTGCTACATATAGCTTCTGCACAAATTCAGAAAGTCCTTCAATATAATACAAGTATTTAGATACATACTTAATTAACTTTGTATTATATCAATTAATTTTGTTACATTCAATGACATATATAAATAGACCCATGGAATACTTAATGTTTTAGTAACAAGAAAGTATCATTTATGTAGTAAAATTAACCAAACAATAATTTTGTAAGTTGAATCAACTTAGTTTATCATATTTTCAAAAAGAATGAACGTGTGAACTTACAACTGCTTGTTTAGCTCTAGCATTCCAGCTAATAGGTGTATTGGAACTTCTGTTATGATCCTACTCATTCAAGCTTGCTTTCCCAAGTATAATTGTCCATGATTCTCTCAACTTCTTCACTACACCAACATCCCAAGGATCCACCGACTTAAGAAGTGTGTATGATTTTGCAGTCGTGTTAAGCTTATCTTTGGTTGCAATGAAATCTTTGACTAAAATAGGGATACCATGCAACCCAAAATGCGACGTGGGGGGATTAGCCTTTCGCTCTTCATCAGCTTTTTCAACTTCATGAAATGCATATGGGTTCACTTCGATGACTGCTCTGTAGAGGGGATTTAGTTTTAATTCATATCTCATGAATGTAAAATTCAACTAAATCCTTGGATTCAAGTTTTCTCTCTAACGGTTGCTTGAATCTAGATCTGGAAAAGTTCTGTTCACAAGAAATAGAAAAAGAATCAATCTACGTTTGAGGTGGTTATTAGAAAAAAAATGTTCATACATAATAAGGGAAAGTGCACAAAAGTCTCTACATTTTATAATTTTTTTTTTATAAAAGTCACTATATTTTAGTTTTTTTTTCAATTTTGACATCTAGGATATGATGTCACCAAAAGTGTCCCGTTATCATGCAATGTGAACATGCTTTGTCATCAAAACTGACATGTCAGCATGTCATATCAACAGACAACCGGGTTAATGGTCAAGTGGTAAGAATTATACAAATTGGAAAACGAAGTGTCCAATTTGAGAAGAAAAATAACACAATGACAAAATCAAATTTTCTTGTAAACTTAGTGACTTATTGGAATTTGCCCTAAAGATATTGTAGATTTCCACATGGTATTTCATACTTCATAGACGTGTGGAAGACATATGATGTTGTTCCCAAATTAGATTAAACTTGTTATAGATGAGGGTGAATAAAATCAATCTGATAATTCTGAAATTTTAAAACATATAACAATCAAAGTATAGTAAATGTTTTTTATACTTTTTTGAACACGCAAAGGAAGTTATAATGCATAATTAGAACGAGAAGGATGAAGAACACACTTCAAACTCCTTACAAATATTGATACATTTAATGAACTTTTATGACACTCGTAATTATATGAGATGGTGTGTGGAAAAATTAATAGTGACTATCATAACCATGCAATGTTAATGTGTGTTATGTTAATGAACTAGGTTTGTGTAACAATTGGTAAAAATAGGTCAAGAACCATCGGTCAAACGTCGTGAAGTCCATTGTAATTAGACTTATTGTACGTTACAACTTTATTTTTAATAAGCAAATGAGGTTGTGGTATGCTTAATTGCTCGTGAATTAATCCATTTTGAACCCAGACTTACGTCTAACATTCGATTTCATTTAAAAAATATTTCATCCCAAAGTGGAACCGGTTTCATGAAAAACTATCAAATAGTAACCATTTGAGCACGAAACTCTACTTGTTGTTTAAACATGATTTCGAGTATCAGAATTTCATCCGGTGTACATTTTTTGAAATCATCACGATTGACACGATCAATAGACACGTATGAAACATTTTAAGAAATCAAGTTCGCTTGTTATGAATTAAGACGACGGAAAAATAATAACATTATTATAGAACATGTGTATGTACATATGAGTGTATATGCCAAAATTTTATAAATACCAAATATGTATATGTCATATAATTTATAAATACCTAGTATATATATGCCATTTATTTTTATAAAAAAAAACAAAAATACAAATACATGTATGGTTATGTATTTTATTTTATATATAACAATCTTAGTACATATATTTATATATATGTTACATGTTATGTATAATTTCAAAAGACCAAGTACTTATACATGAATGATATCTTTATAGATATGAAATGTACAAAACAAACCCATGTAAGATTACAACAATCAAATGCAAACTTCTCCAATACCCTATCTTCCTATCTCATAACTCGATCTCTACCTCTCTCTCACTACCCTCTCTCTCTAACTCACATGCTATCAATCTAATGTATGCACATGGTTGCAAATATTACCTAGATATTTTGTTGTACTAACTAAATCCATGGAGAGCTCAACCTGCACCATATAATGTTGGAGGAATTAGGGTTTATGTTGGAGATCTGGATACCCCTTGGATCGTGTGAACACTTTCCCAACTGATAGTTCTACCTTATGTTTGGGTTGCAAGAAATTCAGCCTATGATATGCCAAATTGCCAACTAAAGAAATCTCTATATGGTTTGAAACAAGCTCCTCGGGCTTGGTTTCAACGATTTGATGCTTATATCACCAGGATTGGCTTTACTCACAGTAGATGTGACTCTTTTCTCTTTATTTTTTGTAGAAGAACTGAAGTAGCATACTTAGTTTTATATGTTGATGACATTATTCTCACAGCCTCCACTCCACACTTATTGTAGCACATTATTGATGGGTTTTATACAAACAATCCTATGTGTGCATGCAATCCTAGATTGGATCTATGTTTTCTCTATTAGACAAATAAGCATTGAACACAACATAGAAAACCCTAATATGCATCTAATAATTTGAGATCAACATAAGACATATTAGAACACATACCTTTGTTGCTATATAGTAATAACAACTAATTCTTGAAGATCCTTGCTTTTGAGATCAAGTACTACAAACGTAGTACCTCTAATGGCTCACAAACACACTAGGGCAAGAGGATAAAAATGAGAGAGAGTAGAGAGGAGTGACTTGCTCTAAAAATCGACACTTTTAGGGTTTCCAAAGGGGTGGCCGAATTCAAGAGCCAAGGGGCTCTATTTATACTTTAGGCTAGCTAGGGTTTCAGGGTGGAAACCCTAATTCCTTAGCTTAGGGCCTAAGCAAGTCCATGGACCCCTTTCCTTAGGGCTTGGACAAAAATCTCTAGATCCTTTCTAGGGGTTTTCGGCCCTCCCTAATAAGGGTGATCTAATGGCCCAAAACCTCAACTATCAAATATTTACAAAACAACCCTTGTACTTTCAGTCCGTTCCTTTAATCCCAAAATTAATTCCAAATTAATTTATGATTAAATATTTATCAACAATATGATTTCTAATTAATATATTATTCTTATAATATATTAATAAATCATATTTATGCACCAATTTATTATTCTTAATAATAAAATCAGCCTCTCTCTCCAATAGTCATCATGTCTAGTTGTCAGTATGAAGGCAACCCAAAAGGACCATGCTACTATCAAATCAAGTACATATCAATTATAGTTATGGGCTTAGACACCTAATCCAGCAGTCTCCCACTTGGATAAGTCTAATAACTATAATTGCAAGTATAACTTCAAAATTGACTAGCAATTGTAGCTCTCAAAAACCGTTGGCGAACTCTGATCTAGTCAGTTACAAGGCCTTAAGATAAGGGATCATATAATCCTCCGTTCTGCAAGATATCGTGTGGACAAAGACATGGAATAGAATCATTCTCATTGTCCAATAATTCGTTTCCCGACTTCTGATTTGTTTGACAACGAACTTAATTGAACACATCAATTCAGTCCTGACCGGGCCCGACACATAAGTCAATACAAAATCATCAATGGGCCCAACATATCGCTTTTCCCGTTAGGGCAAAAGGAATATATAAACTTTGACTTATATGCTTGTACTATTTACTCATCAAATCATACACAACAACACGTTTTATAATGTGACATCCCCATTTTCACGGCCAAAAAAGACCGATTTTGTTTATGCTTTATAAAAATCAGAGTACCTCTTTTAATAAAAATGTTGCGGAATTTGTTCCCATAAAACATGATAAACACGTTATCAAAGCATTTCCAAAGAAATGTATTTTTATTCCTTTTAAAACCTTGGGATGTCATCGTCAATACAGAAACATAAGCATAAACATAACTTACATTCATTTACACTAGTGATCTACATCTCTTTTAAATCTCTCGGTGTAAAGTAGCTTCGTATCGACATCTTTGATACACATAAGCTTGAGTGGGTCAGGTTGGGAAACCTGGTGAGTACATAGGATTTTCAACCCACAATCATATAATTATTATGTTTAAACATCAAACAATCAACCCAATTACCCATCCCCATTATCTTCCTCACTCTTAAGGGTCTACACTAAGAGTCATCTATCCTGCATTCATTCATTCCGAAGTCCCTTGCTTCCGGGGTTTATAAGACAGGCACTAAGTCCATAGTTGTCAATGCTCATTCGTAAAGCACTAAATCCATAGCTGCTAAAGTTCATTCATCGGGTACTAAATCCATAGCTACCAGTGTTCATCTAATAGGTACTAAGTCCATAGCTACCCACGTTTATCTATCAGGTACTAAGTCCATAGCTACCGACGTTTATCTATCAGGTACTAAGTCCATAGCTACCAACGTTTATCTTTTAGGTACTAAGTCCATAGCTACCAGCGTTTATTCAATAGGCACTAAGTCCATAGCTGCCGATGTTATTTATTAGGCACTAAGTCTATAGCTGCCAATGTTTACTCACATCATCTTTTATCTCTCATCATTCATCTACCCATGTCATACCCAACATATTTGTAGATATAGAATATGTATACAGTTTAAATCATTTAAAACATGTATAAAAACGTTCATCCAACATAGACAGCAAGTATTCAGACAATATGCACACATAGCACGTAGTTTATGTAAAATACTTTATATCTATGTGTAAGATGAAAGTAACTATGCACTCACCTGATAAGGTGGTGACTCGGTACTCGGACAGCGCTTCGTTACTCTTAAAACAATTTTCCCTTGACAAAACCTAGTATCATTACCACTAGAGTTTAGTCTAAAGTTCGACGAGACTAATTAATAGTCTAGCTATTATTACTATTATATAAGCGTTAAACAATACTCTTCACCCACTATGTACAGCAGGGCCAGACATGGAACACCGGAGGGCAGGATCATTTTGGCATAAAGCACTTCTGAAATCCAGCAACCCAAGCGGCCCTCCAAACCAGATTCCCCGTACCGCGAGTGGTTAAAAAGATATTATAACGACACTTATATAACTCATAATAATAGCCCAAATATTTATTATAAGGTCCTAATAACATTACTATATTTAAATAAAAACTATATTTAAAATAGCGTAGGCGTATCTTACCTACGAGGGGGTTTGGCTAGAAGCCGGACTCTGCAGGGGAAAAACTTCCGAGCCGAAAGCTCTTCTTCTCGGAGCCGTCGAGCGCTCCGGGGCTTTCTTCTAGCGCTAAGGGGTTTTGGGAGGTTTAGAGAGAATGTAGAGAGAAGAAAAGAATGGGAAAGGTGTGAAGAAAATGAGGGTGGGAGAGGTTCTTTTTATAGGGTGAAATATGGCTGAACTTG